TCTCTCTCTCTCTCTCTCTCTCACACGCACACCCTAGGGGTTATTGCTTGGAATTCTCCTTCAGTACTATTTAGCAATGTTATGACTATTTTATTAGAATGTGCTCTTGATATGTTACATTTATGGTACTGGAAGTAGTGCAATTGCATTGCTCATATGTGTTTGTTCGAAAATGGAATTCATGTGTTAGAAGAACAAATGAGAGAAAACTGATAATGGCTACAGTTATTCTGATAGAATAAAGGTTATGTTTGAGCTCTAAAGTCAATTTTTTTATTGATTCCATCATTGAAACAATATGAGTTTCTTTTGCATTTTGTTTAATATTTGCACCATATATGGCAAAGATCATATTATTATAATTTTTGTACCATCTCCACTGAGTTTGCCATTCTTTTCACATGTTTCTCATTGTAATTTGTTTTCATTTTCGTTTAACGACTAGAAATCCTTCTTCAGGGTCAATTTTGTAGAAAGAACTTCTAAATAGTGAATAATTTGATCTACAATTTTCTAATGCAGAGAGTTTTTAAGATATATTTTATAATTTGATTAGCATTTGAGAATTAGAAAAATTCAGATTTTACTCTGTGAACAATAGAGCCTAGGTAGCCTTGCCTAAGTCCTCCCAATAAGAAGATTCTATCTTCAATTTAACTTCTAAATCTGAACGTCTCAGAATGAGTCAGGCTAGTTCTCTCTCTCTCTCACTCTCTCACACACACACGCGCGCACACACGAACACATAACATAGTTTTATGATTTGTAGAATTACTTCATTGTATAGTTCCACATAACATAGTTTTATGATTTGTAGAATTACTTCATTGTATAGTTCCAATGTAAAATATTTATTTTCTATCATAATTAATGTTCAATTATGGTTATAGATCTCGTTTGAGTTGAACTTCGAAAATTCTGAATAACTATTAGTAATTTATTATATGTTCTTTTACTATCAGTTTCCACCTTTTTAACTAAATACATAGTTGTCCTTGCTAATTGTTGTAATTTTGCTCAGTGTTGGCACAGACATATCAGCTTCTGTGGACAGTGAAAGTAGAGCCGAGAAAGAAATTGGTGGTGACGGTCCTACTTTGTCACGAGATAATGAAATTAATTCTATGCCGACAGTTGAAATTGCCAGCGAGAAGGAGAATCCAACACCAATAATCGAGATTACATCACAGAGAAATGTTGAAAGTCAAGTGGTAAAATCTTAGATCCTGGACAATCTAGTGACTGTTAGTTGAATTTACTTTACTGTCTCGGTATAACCTTTTGTTTGCTGTGACGCAGTTGAAGACATCGATCGATGGCATTGATGACAATGCCAATGCTGTGAATGGTGGTACCCCAGAGTACAACAGTGAAGATGAACAAGACAGCACGTCGCATGGGGATGATGAAGATGGTGATGGAGATGATGATTCTGAGCATCCTGGTGAAGTGTCAATTGGTAGAAAGCTCTGGACATTCTTTACATCATGATATTTCACACCTCGTTTTTCGTAGTTTGCTGGAAGGAAGGTGTCGGTCCATACCATGTATCAAAATTTCAAATGTAGTTTTCTTAGGAAATGCCGAATAATCTGCTGCTATTGGTTTCTGCATATCTAGTCGATTATCTGCATTAAAAATAGATGCACTGGGGACGTATTCATATGTTGTAAACTAATGGCATGCTTGAAACAGAGGATTCATGCACGGCACAAGTTGGTAATCTTGTCCATTGTAGTACAGAGCCTCCTCGATTAGTAACATGTGCAACACATGCATCACTGTAAAACCATCAAATATAGATTTTCAACTACATTTCTCTTCCTTCAAACTTTCATCAGTTAGTACTGTTCTGATTTTATTATTAACATTTCCATAATTGATTTTTAAAATCATTAAGAGGCTGGACACCTTAGACAGCTTGTGTATTTAGTTGCTTAGCTATTTTCCATTTCCCCTTATTGATTTCATTCTCTAGTATAGCAATGTAAATTGATATATTTATTAATAAAACAAGGTCGGGGTGTACTAATTCCGCTTGGGCTTTGATGGCGTTTTTTGTTAAAAAAATGCAACTTAATTTTCTTTGAAATAAGGTAACACACACGACCAATCTCCTAAACACTGAAGGTTAGATTATGCTAAGCATTCGAATGATATGGTATGCTACAAAAGGTTAGATTATGCTAAGCATTTCAAGAGATTTTCTAAGTATAAAATGTTCTTTTATTTTAAATAGTCAAATGTCAAAAATAATTCAAAAAAACTTCAGAACTTTTTTAAAATAGAGTGAGTTTCGTTCTTCAGATTTATAGATCATAACTTACGATATTATTAATGTATAATGATTGTACTAAGTTACGACTTTTAATACTCTACTTCTTAAATTATTCAAACAATTGTTTAATTGACTGGCCATCGACGCATAAAAATTTATGTTAAATAAAATATTAGAAGAAATCGATAAATTTTTATTGAGAACATAAAATTAAAGAGTCAAATTATAGAGAGCATTGTTGGAGTGTGTAAAAAAATTGACTTTTTAAACTTAAAGTTTCTCTCTACAATACATAAAATGTTCTTTATAAATAAAAAAATATTTTGAAGATACTCAGATGGAGATTACATAATCTCACAAACTCAAAAAAACTACACGCTCTGGACCACTAACTTGTACCAAGCCAAATAATTAGCGAAGCGGATAAATATATCAAAACTATTACAGTTTTACATTTGACTCTTTCAAATTGGAATAACTATTTAGAAATATATTAAGTAAAACAATTTGTCCTTTCCTCCACTTCCGATATCCGTCGCAGTTCCTCTTTGGTGTCTGTGCACCTATTTAGTCCAGCCTCTATTCTCCTAAGTGCACCCGCTTATTCTTCTAAGTACATCCACTTCGTCGAGCCTCTATTCTCCTAAGTGTGCCTCTTCGACTATTGTTATTTGTGCCACATATTTCTACATTTTACAAGTCCAATGCCTCACATAAATGGTAAACCTGGACTTAGAATTATTATTTTAATCATAGTCAAACCCTTCACCTTTTCTTGCAATTATTCTATCTCGTTCGACCGTTGAAGTGCAATGGCCGTCGGACATTTTTCTTGATAAATGGTCTTTGAACCCTAACGGGGTGTTCACGTGTGATGGAAATACTTACGTGGAGGGAAAATTGTCGAAATTCTGTTGGCAGCTCAGATATGCCAAATTTTGAGGTAAACAGACTTACTAACTTGAATTCACATAGATCAGATTTAAAAAACCACACCTTTTTAGTACAAAATTACAAATGTTTCTGAGTTTACTATTTCTTCATCAAATGCCGTTCGACCTAATTCTTTACTCATCACTTTTTCTAGTCACCTGTGTTTTATCTCCTAATTTTCTATTGCAAAAAGCCTAAATTATAAAATATAATGGTCAAGATTTCATGTTGGAAATTGATTTCTTTTAATTTTAAGGTTGAGACGTATGTCACTTATTTAACACGGATCCTCGTTCGAAGTTTGAGTTGCTATCTTGATTGATGGTACTTTTGCACTTTACTTTTTATAATACTTTTTGTTCTAAGATTATTTTGGTCAATGAAGCTATATGATCTCCTCATGGTGGCTTTGCATGCTAAAGATCCCCTCTATTTATGTAATTCACGACTAATCATCAATTATTGGATTTAGTAGGCTATAATCAACCTGACCAAAAATTATATCAAGAGGGGTGATCTCAATTGAGATTTCAATTAATTTTAATAAGTCTTTTAAATTTACGTGTCAATATTTAGATTGGGGGGCCTATTTGAGTTCCATTTCTGTCAAAAATGCATTTTAAATAGTGTATTGATGGGAAATGTGTGTTTAAAAAATAAGGAAAAATTTTGGTGCGTGTAATATTATTTTATTGAAAATATGTGATTGAAATGCGGTTAAACTATTATTCAAGAATGTTATTTTTTTTTTAATGGGGCTCAAATAAGGGCTTGATGAATTTAGTAAGATTCATTATAATTGAAGTGTCCCAACTAAGGTTTTATTAACTTTCAATGAAAATTCTTTAAAATTTAAGTATCCTCCAAAATTTTTCTCTTTTCGCAAAACAAGAAGTTAATTAATCACTGAAAAAATTATAACTCTTTTCTTAGTGATGCATTGAGATTTCATTTACACGTGACAAATAAATTGACATGATGAACGTTACTCCATTCTACTATCTATTTTTAATTTTTATTTTTTTTAGAAATACTAGGGAGTTTTTAGGGCTTTACCTAAACTCAACGAGAGAGTTTGGATATCACGACCATGTTTTATAAATACAGTCAAAGTACAAGATGGAGGCATTCTAGCCTTACCTCCATTGCAATCTACTACTGTCAGAAATTGAGTGTGACTCGAATTTCTTGTTGAAATAATTGAAGAATTCTAATTGAAATGCTCATCTAGAAGAATTCAGTTTGGAATGCTATTGAAGTCCTATGTCAAGTTGAAGTTTTATTTTAGAAGCCCATTGAGAGTTGTAATTTGTTTTAGACTAGATTTTTGGTGTCTTACTTCATCAACAACTCTATTAGGAGGGTTTGGATATCCCCTACATTTTTTCTATAAATACTAGACTCTTCTATACAATTTTAAAGTGTGAGAAAATAGATTACTAGAATTATAGGATCTATTGTAATTTTTCTCTTTTCTCCATTATTTTTGAGTCAATAAAATTTCTTAATTCCTCTATCATATTCTTGTTTTTATTATTCATTTGTTTGATCATATATTTCATTATTATTTGTCATATAACTTCAACATCTCAATCCAGTGGTCTGTTTCACAACAATTGGTATCAGAGCAATTCTGGTATCTTGATTGTTTTATAACAATTGGTATCAGAGCCCCAGGTTCAACAGTTCCGCAAAAGCGCAAAGTTTGATTTGTTCGAGGTTTTTATTAGTGATGACTTCCATGAAGTATGACATTCCACTTTTGGATCGACATGAAGTATGACATTCCGCTTTTGGATCGAATCACTAGATTTTTACTATAACAGATTAAGATGCGTGCAGTACTCGCACAACTGGATTTGGATGATGCGTTGCTGGGAATTGACAGGATGCCCACAACTTTGACCGCGGATGAGAAATTACGGAAGGATAAAAATACAGTTTCTCATATTTATCTTCATCTATCAAATACTATTTTTCAGGACATTTTGAAGGAGAATTCAACAGCTGCTTTATGGTTGAGGTTGAAGCAATTGTGCATGACAAAAAGTTTTACAAGCAAGTTGAACCTGAAACAACGTTTATACTCTCATCAAATGGCAGAAGAAGGATCATTGGAAGATCACCTGACTGTATTTAAGGACATCGTCACTGATTTGGAAACTTTGGAAGTAGAGTATGATTAAGAAGATTTGGCCTTGATCCAATTGTGTTCGTTGCCCGTTTCATTTTCTTCATTTAAAGAAACGATCTTGTATAGTTGTGATACTCTCACCATAGAGGATGTGTATGATGCTTTCTATTCTAAAGAGAAGCTGAAGCATCTGGTTNGAAATCTGAGGCCAGAGATAGGAAAGGCCTGGTTACTCATGGTGATTCTGGAAGGGGCAGATCGAAATCTAAGTACAGTAATCAAATTTGTAACTAGTGCAAGAAGAAGGGGCACTTAAAGAAGGATTGCTACAAATTGCAGAATAAAGAAAGGATGGCTGCAAGTAGATATTCAGATACTTTAGGCGAAGCAGACATCGCGGAGAACGTTGTAAGTGATGGGGAACTCTTAGCTATTTCTAATATTGAGTTTAAACCGAAAGATGATTGGATTTTTGATTTGGAATGTGTGTTTCATATGTGTCCTTATAATGACTTGTTTGCTACATATGAAACTGTTTCCAAGAATGTCGTGGTTATGGGAAACAACACATCTTGTCGGGTTGCTGAAATTGGTACAGTTAGATTGAAACTTTTGGATGGGATAATTAGAACACTTAGCCAGGTTCGACATGTTCCAGATTTGAAGAAAAATCTCATCTCGTTGTCTATCCTTGATTCAAAAGGTTATGAGTTTTTTGGTGGAGGTGTAGCTTTGAAGGTTTGGAACGGTGCCCAAGTTGTATTGGAGGGACAGAAATGGTTTCAATTATACATTTTACAGGGTCGTGCAAAATTTAGAAGAGTCAATCAACACAATTTCAGTACCGTGGTGGACATTCAGTTTGGTACAATACATTTAGGAGCTCATAAAGGGTCAGATTTGAAAAATATAGTTCAGTGGAGTTCAGGAGATATGGATAATGCCGTTTTACCACCATCACCTGCGGTGCCATTGTATTCAATTGCTAGAGACGGACCCAATGGAAAAAGGTATGTGGCTGCTGATTTTGTTGAGCATGCTTTAAGTGGAGTAGAAGGTGTACATTCTAGCAATGGGCCTTCTTTAAAAACATTTGGATTTGATTATACTTTGAGGTGTGTTACAACCAATTTTAGTAAATTATAA